CGGTGCGGCTGGCTGTGCCGTAACCCTGAGTAGCTAGGAGCAGACCCACACTGTCGGCGCGCGTGCACGTTGTCTCTTTCGCGCGCGCCCAGTCTGTTTTGTGGCGTGCCCCGAGCGTCTTTCTCGTTTCAGTGCTGCCTCCGACGCGAGTGGTGCGGGGAGATCAGTCAGAGAACGTAAAGTCGTCACCGGGGTTAGTCGTCACGGTTACTGTCGTCGCGGTCGCCGTCGTCACGGTTACCGTCGTCGCGGTTACCGCGTGAATGTCGCTGTCTTGTGTCGCTCCGCCGCTACCCGTCGCCATTCTGCGCTTCGCTCGTGCTGCCCTCTGTCCGTCAACATCCGAAGTATTCGGACTTCTGAATGTATTTGTGTTGGTTTTTTTTGCGTTTCGTTGCAGTGCCTCAGAAAAGAATGTAACCGGTGCTGCAAAGCAAAAGGCGATAAAAGGGGTTAGTCTGTCGATGTTTGCTGCACGACCAGTAACTATGCAGGGACTAGTGTTTTAACTTGTCTGGTCATCTTTCTTTACCCACCTAACTTTTCGTTTTCGTTTTCATTAACTTTTTTCTTTGTAGGTTTGAGCGTGAATAGAGCTTTGCTTTCGTTAACATCTCACTTCTTTTTTTTTCATTCACTTTTTTTCGTTGTAGGAAGATTCGAGCGTGAATTTTTTTTCTTTTTTTTTTCATTCACTTTTTTTCGTTGTAGGAAGATTCGAGCGTGAATAGAGCTTTTCTTTTCTTAACCTTTCTTTTGTCGTGACACTAATGGGGGGTAATATAGCATAATTTGCCTGCTTGCACGATGTTTTTTTTATTTATTTCAAGAGATTATTTGACGTATATGTCGTGTCCACTCCAACGAAGTTTCCGTTTCACCCCATGTTACCTTGAAGCGTGCCGAATTTCTGTCTAGTATCAAAACAGACCCTTTGATCACTTTTGAACTTTGACCCCCGCGCTGGTGTGTGCCAGTGAATGCTGGAATGCTTGCGTTGCGCGCGGGGGCGAGGCGACGTGACGTTCTCTTGTTCTCCCCTCGATTGACCCCCCCCCCCATTGTTCGCCGAGTGCGTGCAGCGGTCGGCCCGCCCGCCTTTCTCACCCCGGTACCTCCCCCTCTCTCCTTCTCGCCCCATGTAGCGGTGCGTGCGACGCGTGCTCGCTCGCGTGCACGGTGGGTGGCTCGCTCAATGCTAAGGTGGCAGCACTGGAATGCTTTTTTCCGTTCTTGGCCTTTGGTCTTCGCCGCGCCATGCCGCGCCGGTAGTCGGGAAGCATGCTCGCGTAATATGCAGCTGTCTAGTGGCCGCGCGTACGGTCGATCTTGCGCAGGGAGTAAATCCGCATGATCTACCGTCCGCGCGGCGTGTGCAGCGATGACGGTGACGGCGGCTCTTGCTAGCGATAGTTCTGTGTAGTGCGCGCGTGTGTGCGTGCGCGCGTGCATGCGTGTGTGCGTGCGTGTACGTGTGCGTGTGCGTGCTTGTGTGGAGGGGGTAAATTTGTATTTCTGTATTTGTGCTTCAGTATATAACACGTTACTCGATATTCGAGCGACACGTATCGCGATTGCGCTAGTGTGAATCGAAGTTTGCTCGCCGTGCTGCCTCTTGTTTCGTGTTCCATCTGTTTGTGTTCGTCTGCTCACGCCTGTACGTCTGTAACGCTCATGATCTGCTCTCACTATTAATGCTGCTGCTGTAGTCGGCAGAGCTAAACGTAAGCTTCTCTCCAGATATTTACGCACGCGGCCGGCGCATCACAATGCATTAATTCGCGCGCACTTCGCAAAAAGAGAGTTTCTCGCTGGAGCATTCGTTTGCGCGATCACGCACCGCAAATCTCGTTCATTTTTTCTCTCGGAATTTGATCGTCTCAAAATCGTTTCTTCGTTTAAGAAACCGGTTTCATGCTTTTCATAATTTGTTCAATACCAGCGCAATATAACGTGCACGACCATCGGATAGCATATTTCTTGCGTCTCTTCTTGCATTTCTTGCTTGTCTCTCGTTATTCCGTTATTTTATTGTATATTTATATAGAAAATATTCTTATTTTATATTATTTTATTCCGTTATTTATATTTCGTTATTCCGTTCTATTCGTTATTCCGTCTCATCGCGCGCGCGTACCCACGTAACGCGTCGGATGGGTTGTACTACTACGTCGTTAGCGAGTCGTCTTAACGAGTCGTCTTCGCGCTAACGAGCGTTCGTCTCTCCCCGTCTGCGCAGACGATCAGGAAGGGCTACATGTGCATCCACAACCTCGGCTTCATGAAGGGAGGGTCGCGAGACTACTGGTTCGTCCTCACGTCTGAGTCTCTCGCCTGGTTCAAGGACGACGAGGTAGGTGGCGCCGGCGTCGTCGCCGCGACGCCCGCGGCAACGCGGGCCGGGGGCCGTGTTTCAATTATTTAATTTATTACTAACTAATATTTATTAATTTATTAATTAGCAGTTTTAATTAATTAAAGAAATCGCGGCAACACGGGCCAGGGCAGTCGTGCGGCAACTTTTTGCCGGTTGGGGATCTTGCTTGCCATTGTTGGAATTGTGATGATTTAATCGCTTTTGATCATACAATAAGAGCTGATTCATGCCTTCATGTTCGTTTCGCCTTGTACGTGTCATGTCTGAGTGAGTCCGTGCTTCAATTCGTTAAATGGGAAATTGCTTGCCTGCACCTGTGTCGGCCAATGATTATTTCGGAGTGCAATGAAAATTACCGAAAACACAGATGGATTTAGTCAGGGCTTGTGAATGAAATTTGATGAAGACTCGAGGGTGAATGACACTGAAATAGTTTAAGAAGCACTGGTTTAATCGCGCGCCCCCGTCTCTGCCGTGCTGGTCTAATCGCGCACGCTGCGCTTTTCAGGAGAAGGACAAGAAGTTCATGCTTCCGCTGGACAACCTGAAGCTACGTGACAAAGACGCTGGTTTTATGTCCAAGCGCCACATGTTTGAGGTGTTTAGCGTGGAAGGCAGTGATCGAGCCGGCTGCGTGAGCGTATGTATGATACAACACAGTTAGCCAGCCAGCGGTTCATGTCCGCGTCAACATGTTTGAGTGTTTAACGTGTGAAGACGTGTGAGGCTGAGCCGGACGCGCGTGACGTTGTAGTACGTTACACAGTTAGCCAGCAGGCTCATGTCCAAGCGACACATGTTTGAGGTGTTTAACGTGGAAGGCAGGTGAGCGAGCGCGAGCGCGTGACGTATGTAGATACATACACAGTTAGCCAGCCACGGATTCATGTCCAAGCGTTACATGTTTGAGTGATTAAGTGGGAAGGAGCGCGTGACGAGGCGAGCGCCGGCTATATTATTTCTTACCCCGCAGCGGATATCGTCGCTCGCCCCGAATCCCGCCGAGTGTGTATGTATGTTCGTCTTCATTCAGCTTGTCCGCTTTGCTCGCGTCATCGTGCTCACCTTGCATGCATTGTCAGCTCTGTTCTTGTCTCGTCTTGCAGCTCGTCTGTCATACATTCACCGCTTGCGCCGACTTCTGTGTCCCGAGCGTGCTCTGTGTGGTTGTGTTAGAATTTCTATGCCGCGATTTCCTTGTGGATCCCGTTACTGTATGGCGCTCGCCGTCCGTTTCTCTCGCCCAGCGTCGCGGTGGATGCAGGATGCCGGAGCGCAGGAGTACGAGTGGTTACATCCAGTTAGCCAGCAGTTTTCGTGTCCAGCGCTGACTATGTTTGATGTTGTGTTAGTGAGCACAGGTTGTGATCGGCACCCGCTTGGCTCTGTCCGGCTCGGGGCGGCGTCGGAGGCTTGTTGGCTTCTCTTCTGCGCTCTGAGTTTAGTAGGGCTCATGCTTAGCAGCTGTACGCGGTATCGTTCCAAGTCCTCACTGTTGAGGTTTCTTTATGACGTGACGAAAGCTAGCGGGGTGAGCCTCTCTGATCGGCCGCGAGCGCGCGTGACCGGTCCGTTCTTTGTTATGAATCGCTACGTACACATCGGCGCACGTGTTCTTGCATGTCCGAGCGTCAATTCAGTTTGACTTCGTGTGTGCTATTTAGACCCGTTGTGACGCAGCGCCGATTATGTCTTGTTCTCTTTTCGGCTCCACTTCGAGCTGCGCGGCGGCGCTCTTTATTCTTGCTTGTCCTTTTCGCCTCAGTTGCCCTCTGTGCGCCTTATTGTTTTTGACTACCTCATGACATCTCAGGTTACCCTAGTCCAGCTGGATTCATGTTCAGCTTACATTACTGAAGCTCTGCCGTGCTGCTGGTATTAACGTGGCAGCTGTGAGCGAGCGCGGACGCGAGGCGCCGCTGGCTGCCGAGTGTCCCTTCTGGCTCGCGGTACTATCTTCCCCCGAATCGGGCCTTGCTCCAGGTCGTGGTTCTTCACTGGACGATCCGGGTCCTCGGCCCGTAGTGATATTCGCGTCGCTGCAGTGGTCACACGGTCCTCGGGTCTCTTTCGTCCCGGTCCGTCCGGTGCGCCCGTCCCGGGTCCGTCCCGTTGTGTCTCTGCTTGTCTCGTGTGATGTATGTATGCTTTTCTAATACCCGTTAGCCCGCTCCTCGGTCTGATTCAGTCAGCTCAATGTTTGACGTGCTTTAACGTGAAGGCGTTTATTGCCTCCTGCTCTCTCGCTTCCAATGTCTGCTTCATTATGTCGGGTTCGAAGGCCGTCAGGTTTGCCTTCTTCTTGTTGATATGTCTGCCAAGCATCATTTTGCTGCCTCAAGGGCGTTTTGCTGCCTACAGCAGTTTTGTCTGCTACAAGGGTCGTTTCTCGGCGTCGGTTTGCCGCTCTATTTTCCGTTGCGTCGCTGTGTAGGGCGGGGGTCAGTTTTGCTGCTACAGGGTCGTTTTGCTGCTATTGTGTTGAGGGGTCTTCGCCTCGCTGTCTCGCTAAGGGTCACGTGTTGTTGTTGCTGCCTCAGCGGTCAGTTTGCTGCTGTTCTCAAACTTAATAACTCCCCTAACATCAAGATTCCTGTAATCCGTAAAAAGCACTAAAGATTCTGGCCCGTGGGGGATGGCTTCGTTTGTTTTTGTGCGTACCATTTACTGTTTACTTGGAGCCGAAACAAGTGTGGAACCTCTTTAAATTTCTCCGTGAGGAGCGTTTTATATCTCGCAGTGATCCGCTTACGTCGAGTTTGTGTCTGCATTCTCAGGAGGGCGTTGTGGTGGTGTTTCTACCGCTCTTCCCGCGCGCGCTGCGCAGTGGTTCCCGCGCGCGTCACGTTTTGTGTGTTGTTTTGTTGTGCAGACGTCTGCAAGGCTACATAGTCTCTCGACTGCAAGAGATCTGACCCGCTGACAGCTGGAAGGCTTCTTCCTGCGCGCCTGGTCATATCACCGGCGGGAAGCGCGCGGAGCAAGTCGACACTTCGATGTCGAGAGATCCCGCCTTCCCGCGTCTCCCTCCGTTTTTTACGTCAATTTTTCACTGATGTTCTTTTTTTTGTTTTTTTGGGGACCCCGAAAACCGTGAACTTTGTGTATCTTCTTCTCTTTTTCTCTTGTCCTTCTTATGTGTATATATATTAATTTTATGTACTGGTATATATAACTCCTCTAACTATATTATTATATGGTGTGTATTAATTCCGTTTTATATTTTAATTCGTCTCCATTCTCTTGTTATTCCTATTACCCTGCATGAAGAGGATGATACTTGGAGCTTGCTGTATTAAAATTTGCTGATTAATTCTAAACCCTATTCTATTTTTTTCTACAATTTATTTTTTCTTATTATTGACGTGTATATATAACTTATATATATATATTGCTTTAGATTGTTTATACGATGTAATAACAGCATAACTGCCTCTCCTAGAGCAAATACTAAGACGTTCGTTCTACAGAGACACTGACTTGCAACTCTAACCGCAAATGTACAAACCTGACCAACTCTCGACGTTTGTTTGCTTTAGCAACAGACAGATGGCGGCACCTTCGACCCCCAGCTGGAGCGGCAGGTGGAGACGATTCGTAACCTCGTTGATTCCTACATGAAGATCGTCAGCAAGACCGTGCGAGACCTCACGCCGAAATGTCTCATGCACCTCGTCTCAGAGCTAGGGACGTCTCCGCGCGGGCCTCCGCGTAATGGTCTCGCGTGACCTCATCGTCACGACGGGTCATTGATGAGTAAGGCTGAGCGCGCAGCACGGACCAGGCGACGTCCTGAGACGTTCTCTTGTCTCTCGCGTGCTAAGACGCTCTCTTGTTTCTTCTCGCGCAGGTGAAGGAGTTCATCACTAACGGTGTAGTGCCTGTACAGCAGCGCGAAGGCTGCGCTTGGGAGTCTGCGAGGAGGCGCAGCGCGCGACGAGATGCTGCGCAACACGCTGCAAGAGGCGCTGCGCATCATCGGCGACATCAACCTGAAGCATCGCGCCCCTGCGCCGCCCGTCGACACCGATTGGCTGGGCCGGGACGGCGGTCGGGTGGTCATGTGGGTTCCTTGTTTCGGTTGGTCCATGCGGGCTCGCTCCGTCGAGCGATCGGTGCGGCGAGTCTGTTTATTATTTTATGTGTTGTTGTTATTATTGTATTAATTATTTTTACAATTTTTAGCTCATCTGAACATAGTCTAGATGCGTTGTAATCGCATGGATCGTCCGTCCGTCCGTCGGTGCACGAGTCGGAGCGATCGAGCGTCGTTCAACGTATGTCACAATTTAACGCTGACTCGTCACGATATTCGGGTGGGGCGTATCCTAACGTTGGTGTCGAAGCTGGGGTCAATGTCATAAGGTCAGACGGTGTACAGAAAGGGACATCCTTAATTAAGGTATAGGAGGAAATGCGAAATTGACGGCACAAATTAACGGCAATCACTAGGTGGTGATGATCGGTTACGATCATGTAGAAAAGCCTTCCTGTCTATTGGCGTTTCAAGTGTCAAGTCCATGTACAGGCTTTTAGATTTGTGAGGCATGGGTCCCTCACTTGGCGGGGTTTGGAACTTTTTTGTTTCACGATGACCTGCATTTTTATGGCTTTTTGCAAATGGCCATGAATGGCGCTTTCCAGTGAGTCCGTAGAGTATGCGTGTCTGTTTACCCTTTTGACCCTCAGAGGGGATTAAACGATGATTTTGTCTTAACTCGTTCTTGGTTAGACGAATTTGTCCTTGGCCGGTCATCCGTGTTCGGTTGTCCGGTGGAATGTATGTATATGCTGAGTTGAGTGTACTAATGTCCAGTGAAATTTCGATATGTCTAATTGCGTGGGTTGGATGGCTGTGAATCGTGGCTAGGTGAGTTTCGCGCGCAGTTATGGCATCGTACTGTCGTGCCGGCCGCCCGCCCCGCTTGTGCGTCCGTGCCCTGTGCGGCTGCTTAGTATCCGTGGCCACTCAGTGATGTTGATTGGTTTTGATGCTGTCGCTTTTTTGCTGTCCCTTATTAGGAGTCGACTGTCTGGTATTTTGCGCTGTTGTTGCTCCACCGCGACGTGCCTATCGCCTGTCGCTTTGTGTTTGAGAGTTTTACATGCATTTATACTGCATC